AAGAGGAATTATCACAATTCCGGCAAGTATCACTGATCATGGACAAAATGACAGAATGACTGAAATATACTGGTTATGAGCCTTATCTTCAAAGATAAGTGACCTTGTAAGTTACCTCCTAAACGATCCTTTAAAATAATCAGAATGTTTTTGGTAAGTCTCTACATAAAATTTATAAGTTGGTGTTTAGTCCCATATACAAAGGAAGTATACCTATAAAATAGAGCTGTTAATATGTTTCCTTTTCCCCCGTCAACATGAAGAACCATATACAATATTTAGAATTCCTTCGATGAATTTTTTTTAAAAAAACAACAAAGTTCATATTCTCTTGCAGGGATCTAAAACACACATATTTAAAGTGAAAAAAATTTATAAGTTAATTTTCTCCTGTACTTACCAATTAACTTAAATGACCATATATGCCGTTTATAGACTGCTTTTCCTGTCAAATACGCTGCTACACACAGAAAATGCTCAAAGGACTATCACAGCCTAAAAGATATTCATATTCATATTGTCTCCTCTTCCTCTCCCCACTTCTCTCTCTCTCTCTCTCTCTCTCTCTCTCTCTCTCTCTCTCTCCCCTTTCGGTTTTGAGGCAGAGGCCCAGTAGACCCAGTTATAAAATTATTATTATGAAATAACCTGATAATATGATTATTATTAAGTAGTATGATTCTCTCCCCTGGAAACGCAAGTCACATCATCCCTACTCCTGCAATACCTGAAAACACCTTATCAACACACAGAATCCCACACTAACTTTCACGTCACGGACCATGAACTTCCAAGTGTGAATATATGCACTTATTTTTTCCAAAACACTTCACTTTCAAAAGGGATGTTCTCTGTTTTGCATGCTCCGGGTGAGCCAGAGGACTACAGATGTAGGGAAAATGACTTTTAAACTGCCACATCTCCATTAAGTGGTTGTTAACTCCTAATCTACAATACAGAATGCAACCATAGTTTGATGATACGATACACTCCATTCTACCCATGCTGCTTATTGCATTAGAACCATCTACTATTTCACTGAAGCCATGGAACTCAGTTAAGACTGCCACCTATCACGAACTTGTTTGAAAAGTCAGGACTAGCCCTTCCAAGACTGCAAAAGTTACCAACAGGGCAGTAAAAGTCTCATCATCACCATCATCATCATTATATGATATTCGAGATGGTTTCAATCCTTTATTTACATGGTTGATGAGTATATTCTATGATACTGACATTAATTTGTACAGTGACTTATTTAAAGTATAAACAGGTTTGAGTAGACGTTCTCTTTTATGAGACTACTATGTAGCTGTTATAACTAGCCAGTTATCAGAGTTACTGAATCAAAACCATAAAATATTTTATCAAAATTCTTTCAAATTAATGAGTCTTACAGTAGTTTTGGTATACGAAACATCTGTACATCTTAGAGCGTGTTTCTGCGCTTTGAGAGTTTACGTTCTAATGGCTGGCTAAAAAAAGGCTTTGAAAATGGCCATTTAAGTGAACTATTTTAGTATTAAAAACTGTTTTAAATGAATGTTCTTAACTGGAAAAACACTGATTCAATGTAAATAATCTAGCAGACAGAGGAAAATTAAAATACAATAAACATGTTTCCCACCAAGTCTTTTCTTCCTGAAAGCAAAGAACGATGTCACTGTGGAACTTCACACGTATCTATAGAGCAGTTCCATCCTTATTTAAATATCCTGCACACCAGGCTATATTAGAATACTTATCTGTATTAATCTTAGAGTCTATGCTTTTAATATTTTATTTTACTGAGACGATAAGCATGTAGCACAGTAAGCTACACGCCCAAGAAAATCTTAACGTGGTCTTTCAGAAAAGAATAAAAAGCTGATAAAGCTGAAGCCGGCTGGACACAACTAAGAAACAAATGCAAACAGCACCGCAGGGACAGTACCATCTACCATCTCTCCAGGTTTCCAAAGAGGATGAAGAATAACCTCCACATGCACAGCCCCTCATTGTCAGGATTACACCTACCACCTTGTGAAATTAGTTATCACCCACGCATGAGATGCAGATCTACAATTTTAAGAAATCCTTAAAAACTCGACTAGAATGTTGATATAAACAAAAAAAGGAAATAACCTAAATGTATAACGTTCACCATTTATGACCCAAAAGATGATAAAACCTTTTGATGAGCGAGAAAACACACCTTGAGACATATTGTACTGGGGAAAAAAAGGCTATTTTAGTTGAAAATGTATTAATGAATTGCTTCTGCATGCTTTATCTAGTTCTTAGAGAAAGTTCAAATTAAGTCTCCCAAAGGATGTTTTAACGACGAGAAGTAATATTTTGAAACTCGTACAAACCATCACGCTTGTTTGGAAACAAATGACTTCTCAGGATGTAGAAGTATTACTATCAATCACCAACAAGTTAATTCTACATAATAAGGCAGGTTTGGATGCAAACTGGTCCATTGTGGAATGCTGTATCTAAAACTGATTACAAAAGCACTCAAAATGAATGCAGCTCTCCAAACCACTTCTTTGCTCAGAAACATTAATCTCAATTAGAAGGAGAGCTTCATAATGGCAATGCTTGGTATAAAAAAGTATAAAATAAATCAGTTTTTATAAGACACAACAATTAATCAGTTTTGAACCTAAGAAATCTCTTTTTTTTTTTTTGTTACTCATAAAAGTGCCAATCAGGACTCTTAAAATAGCCAGTATCTCCAAAATCAGGTTCTGAATGTGTCCTCAAAGAAGCTTACGTGACATAATACTTAAGACTCAGTTGTTGAAACTTTTCAGTAGCATGGCTATTGTACTAGCTTTTTGTTACGCTTCTTTATTCTGAATGCATGTGAAATTCTTCTCCACTCTCGTTCTACTTGATAAAACAAATACAACTTTAATTGAAAAAATTCAAAGGGATGTATGATGGATTGCGGATCAGAGTAAAAGTTTGATACCAAGTTACTGTATTCTTTCCTGATATTCTCCATGTAAGTAAAAAAAAAAAAAGTATGTCCTAAAAGTCAAAATAGACATTTGACTATCAAATAAAACATTGTTAGATAAGCAACGCGTACTTGAACACGCCTAACAGACTTCTGCAGCATATCTTCAAGAAAAGGGCAGACAGTTCATTAATGCTATGGAGTACACTGACTCACATAAGTATAATACCTTGATGACATTCCTCAGCCACCCAGATATCAAATTTTTAAAGGGAGAAATAAAGTTTAATAGGAAGGAGGTAAGTATATTAAAATGATATTAATAAACTAACAAAGTTGTCTTCATGGTGGTTTTCTAGCAGACTATGGCCATCCTCAGGACTCACTTCCCAGTACCGTTGTAGAAAGGACAGACTTCAGCATTTCCAAACACTCTCACAGCTACGGCAAAAATATCATTTTTTGTACATCCAGCTCAAGGTTGATCAGGTATTTCCGATAGCACATTCTGCTCACAATGACAGGCATACACTTTTGTCTGGTTTCTTATTTGCTCGACTCTTTATAAAGAGAAAAATTACTCTTGGTTCTCAGAAGCAAAGATAAGAAAGACCAGCTTGAACTTGCCAACTGGATGATTATTGTTTAGCTAGGTTTTCTTTCCAAATAAATTTACAACTTTCACTCTATTCAAGTGCCTTCTTCTATGCAAAGGTAAGCATCCTTATCTTTCTTTGTCCTCAGCCTAATAAAGCACGTTGTTCCCTTTTCTAGCCAAAAAGACTCATGACACGCCTCCAAGATCATAATAAGAAAAGCCTCTGTAATTGACCTAAAACATGTCTTTCTAGAAAATAAACAGAGCCATGCAAAATGATTCAATTTCGAAAAATAAGTACTCGGAATTCTACTATAAATGTATCTGCTTTATTTTAAATAACCGAGCAATCCTCATTAGGGTCGACGTTCTCTGTCTATGCGTGGCTAATATGGATGCTACTGGCAGAGGATACTAATGTGTTTTCCAAATATATGAGCACTCCTATAGTTATTAGCATGTAAGTACATTTTTCATTAAAATTGTGTAGTATATGTACAATATATTTGTCTTACTCAAAGGAACTACTTTTCCTCCTAATATTCTTCTAAAAATTAAAAATATATTTACTACTAGCAAAAAATAGTACCTTTGAGTAAGAGGAATATTAAAATTCATCAAAGAAAAAAGACTTAAGGAAAATGCAACAGGAAGAGAGATACATATAATCCTGAAATACAAAACAGAATAACTAAACTCATTATAATCCCCCCTCCTTAAAGAATTTAGGAATAATTTGTGAATGCCATGACATTTTAAAGTGGGATTAGCAAGTCATATTACTGAACTAGCCTCTCACTCTTAGAGCAAGAATTAAATATTTGCTCTGCATTTAGAATCACAAATCGAAAGTTTCAAGGCTCTTCCAAGAATGCCATATACTAAGAAATACCAGCGAGAGGTAGATAATTAATGAACATATTAAGGAATGCACAAAGCAAGATTGTTGGCATATCTGTAAACTCTTTTGTTTCAACTGAAACATTAAAACCGATAATGATTAATTACACAGTTACTCTTAATTCTAAACTCTGTTCCTGATATACTAGAAAGACTACAAGTACTTCTCCAGGCAGGCAACTGGGAAATGGGTGTGTGTGTGTGTGCCTGTGTGCCTGTGTGTGTGTGTGTATCGTATTTTAAACAAATTCACGAAAGGAATCAAATCACCAAGTTCTGTTCAGTTGCAGTAACCATCTTTTGGGATACTCTTCCAAGCTCTCCAAAGATGCCAGTCCTGTCTTTTTTTTTTTTTTTCCTTCTTCTTTTGACAACAGAAGGGAAAGGTAATATGCCTGAACATATTTCTATTTCGAGTGAAAAGACCACCCAGTGGATTCTGCCAGAGCCTGCAAATGTCTGACAAATACACTGCCAGAAGATAAGAAAGAGAGCATCATGAAGACACAGTCCTCTTCTCGGGATCTCAGCCGTCTGGGGCGCTGTAAAAAGTGTTTGGACAGCGCTCGCCCCCTTCACTTCCACCGCGCTCACCCCGAAGTCCCTGGAAACTTCCCTCTAGCTCTAAATCACAAGGACTTCGGAAACCAAAAGTCCTGGCGGTGTCACGCGCCGGAATTCCTCCTTACCCTTCCTCCGCGGCGAGCCTTAGCGGCAGGTCACCCCCCAAGCGCCCTGAAGGCGCGGCGGTGAGAACGGCCCGCGAGCCGCCGAGGTGTCGCCTCGACTCCCGGAAGCCGCCGTAAAGACCCCCTAGCCCGCCATCCCGCGCGAGGCGGACTTGGACCCCGAGCTGCAGGCGCCTCGGCCTCCGGGCGCTCAAGCGCCCGCCTCGGGACACCCGCGTGCCCGCCTCCAGCCTCGTCCGGGCTTCTCAGCTCGAGTCCCGTCGAGGCCCGCCGCTCCGGGCAGCGTCCCCGCCCTCCGCTCCGCCCCAGCGTGGCTCGGCGGGCGCTGGCGGAGGCGCGGGTCCACGTCCCCAGGAACCGGGCCGACGCGAGGGCGGGGCGGGGGCCGGCGGCCGGCCCCGGGGACAGCCCGCCCCCCGCCCCCCGGCGCCGCGGCCCGGGCCCGGGCCCCCGAAAGGAAGGAGGGCGCGCCGGCGGCGGCGCCGCACTTACCGCGCTCTGCCCGCCGCGTCCACCCGAGCAGCGCGCGCGCACAGCCCCGGGCCGCGTTCGAGGAGCCGGGCGCGGGGGGACCCGCCGGGGGGGGGCGGGCGGGGCGTTACAACTTCCTTCCCGGCCCGGCGGCGAGGGACGCGGCGAGGGGCAGCGCGCGCCGGGCGCCGCGGAGTTCACTTTCTCGTCTCCCCCGCGCTCCCCCCTCGCCCGCCCGCCCGCTCCTCCGGCCCCCCCCACCCCCGCGCGGCAGGCGAGGCGGGGCCGGCGTTTTCGCTCCCGGGGCCGCCCGGGAGCCCGAGGATGGAGGCGGCGGGGGAGGGGACGAGGACGAGGGCAGGGCGGGCGGGCCGGGACCTTAACGGTGTGGCGAGGGGACGCGCCGGGCCGAGAGTGCCCGAGCCCAGGCGCGTACACGTGTCCGCGTGTGTGCGAGAGAGACGGAGAGACAGAGAGAGAGAGAGAGAGAGACGGAGGGAGAGAGGGCAAGAGAGAGGGCGGCAGAGAGAGGGAGGGAGAGAGAGAGAGGAGAGAGAGGGAGAGAAGGAGAGAGGGAGGGAGAGAGAAGGAGAGAGGAGAGAGAGAGGGAGAGAAGGAGAGAGGGAGGGAGAGAGAAGGAGAGAGGAGAGAGAGAGGGAGAGAAGGAGAGAGGGAGGGAGAGAGA